CAACCGACAGAGAGGAGGATACGTCCGCCAGAAAATAGAGGCCTCGAGAAAGATAGCCATTGGAGTGCGCAAGCGGATCTCAGTTGTCGGTTGCGACGGAAATTCTGTCGCTCGGACCGGATTGGAGGCGCGATAAAGATACATCAAAAACCGGAGCTGGCTGGAGCGAAGTCGCTGCGGTCGACGCGGGTGGGCGGTTTGACCGGAGTGGCAGGCTTTATCGGTCGAGCGCGACTCGGCTTGACGCGGCAAGGCAACGTCTTCTGTTCGCCGTAGTGATGAAAGGATCAAATGACTCGGTGCGACCGGTACGCGTCGACCGAAGAAAGCAGATATGACAGAAAACAGTTTTTGAGAAGGCTAATTTTTTGACCCTTTAGAAAAGGGATAGTGTTAAATAATAACAACATGAACGTCGGCAGAAAAATTAATGAAACTGTTGGGGAAATGTATATAAGCATGGAAGGAGCAAGCTATGTTACAAAATGAATTTTCCAAAATTGCATTTGCCCATTTGTGAAAAATATCATTTTGCGAAAATAAGTGGCCAAAACAGCCAAAATGGAATACATGTGAATTTTGATATTTTGGCTAAACGCATGTTTGAGAGCTGCTTGGCAAATGATTATAGTAGAAGCTTAATAAAAAGGTAGATGGTAGTAATGATGTATTGTTAAGTCGCGAAAAACTAAGAATCATAATATTTTCAGCCAAAAATTGGCAATATTCCTATGCCAATGTTTACGAAACCCAATTAGTGAAAATATGAAATATGTGATTTTTCTATTTATAAAGCATGAAGAACCCATAAACATATGTATGTATAGCTATATAAAAACATATATCTATGCAATAGAACACGCAAAAAGCTTATGTAGTATATATAGGTATATAGAGCTATAATATATAGCTAAGAAGCCAATTCAGATGGTTGTGTATAGATAATTGAGGCTTAGTAGTATTAAAACACACATAGATATAGAATCTAAACTAGATTAGCGCGGCCAAGGCTTGATCTTGATCTTCATTGTAGCTCGACTTTGGTCACAGACTGTGCGGATGAAGCTTGAACTTGCATCTTTAACTTGGTATTGTATGCTTGGCTTCACTCACAATTCGCCATACCTCCTGGGCTGATATGATCGTGGTAGGGCTAATCCATCCAAACCGTCCACTACGCGTTGTTTGGTCTACAGATACATAGGAATGGTACTAACAGCGTAGACAAACAACATTCAGTAAGTAAATTGATTTGTTACATCATTCATCAAAACAAGAAGGCCAACAATCTCTCCGCTTTTTTATGATGAGCAAACAATTTAGCAAAAAGGATAATATGCATGGAAAGAAAATGAATTATTATAAATTATAATTCAGCATGCATATAAAAAAGAAAAATGTATATTCAACAGAATATGTTCTCCCCTTGACAACATCAAAAAGGGACAAAAGGAATGAAGAGGAGCGAAAAGCTGCGCGCCCATATCAATAAGGCATCGGAGTGAGTAACACAGCAAATATCAGGGAATCAGCTGCCGCGCGCTGGTATCTAAAATAGCTATATGAATATATAAACAATAAAAGATCATGGGCAACATGTGAGGCAGCATGAATAATGATGCCAAAAAAAAAGCCAGCTGCACATGCCAAGAGATCAATGAGAACCATAATGATTAGTGGTGCACGATAAATAGGTGTCTGGCAAAATACAAGCCTAAAAAACGCTATGTAATAGAAAAATAGATTTATGAAATGAAAATGAGAGAGAGAACATAGATGCATGCTAAAAAGGAGTTTTGCGAAGTGGAGAAACAAAGTCAGCTGCAAGATGGAGGAATCATGATAATGCAAACACGGCATTTCAACGGCAAAAATGATGTTTGATGCAACAAAAAGAAATCTTTATGTAAGACTTGATGGCAAACCACTCAATCAGACTACATTATAAAAGCACGGAATAGATGATCGGCATTAGGGGCACAAAGGTGCACATAAATACTGCATGCATAGTAAGTGAATTATAGATGGATATTCAAAAGGCAACAAATCAAACGCAGCAGATTTTTCAGAGAGGGGCAGGACGAATTATAGTCAAGGCTCTTGAGCTTGGTTTCGGCAACCATGATAATCGAATTCTAAGAGGCATGCCGGTAGAACTTGATTTGGAATAAACACCGGCAGGCAATAAACGCGGGCGGAGGGTTATATCAACACAAGACCTCTGCATGGCAAGATCAACGACTAATATTATGAATAACAAAAGAATTTGATAAAGAAAAATTAATTTTCAAATAAGCAGAAAAGATTTTTAAAACGTATATTTCAAAACGCAAGAAAAAAAAGTAAAAAGTACGAAAATTCTTTGGTTTAAAAAAAGTCATTTTGGACAGCCGTCAAGAATTCTTGGTGGCGCGGAGTTGGGTTAGGGATCATGACCGCGCTATCAATATGGTCTGGCAATAGCCGCTAAGGGTTATATGAACGCGCATCGTTGGGGCGGGCATTTAGTCGGCACAGAGGGTCGGATCATAGGGGCAAGTAATTTTGTAAATGAGCCCATTGCGACATGCAATAAGTGGGGCTGAGATGAAGAGGATGCATGTTGGTGTATGTTGGACTCATGTGGATGTGCCGATCGGAGGACATTTGCCAAGTAGAAGATGGTCTTTTAGAGATTATTTTGGCAAATGAGATACTCTCCTTTACATCGTAAACAAAATTTGGGGCCGCAAGATGATCAAATCGACCTAAAATCACATTTAAAACAGACATGAGCATGCTTATGATGAACATGATGAATATGGTGCATGTGTATGTGATGAAGAAGCCTTCACTGAGATGGGCAAAGAAACATTAGTAATTGGAGTATTTTATGTGCATGGCATAACAAAACTGTAGGCTAAGATGGCTCTTTAGCGACCGCAAATAGAACACTTATATAGTTTTGTTATAGGCATGTCGTGCAAAATGTACGGGTTTTGAAGGTTGTAGTACGAGACTTTGCACAAGGTCCGTAAGTTCTTATTATGCTAAGGGCAATGCATGTTGTTGGACGGGTTGAAATCTAAAGATGATATGCGTTCTGTTAACATGATTGCACTTTCAACAGCGGTTGTTATGGCATACAAGGCATTGGAATAGAATAGATGAAAGATGATCATTTTTAAGCGAACTAAAGCTCCATTGCTAATAGTTTCGCACTTCTATCATGGCATCATTATTAGCACATGAGGTTAGAGCTAGCAATAGATGAAAGACATGTTATATATTTTGCAAAGCTTAATAACTCATTGTTTTCTTGTGCAAGAGCATTGCTCTTTAAAGGCAAGCGAATATCAAGTTTAGAAGCTAAGTGACTGCATGATCGTTTACAAATGCGTAGCATTGCTTGGCTTTGAAGATCAATAAAATTATTTTTGCAATTAGTATACGCATGAGAATAATCTTTCATATGGCACAAGCGAGTTCATCAATAGATAAATCATTATCAGAATCAGAATCGCTTAGGCTACACGAAGAGTTATCCTCTTGTGGCGCGATAATGGTATTGATGGCTCCACATGAACTTGAAGAAGAATCGCTCGCAAAGCTTGTCGGATTAACGCTCCGTAGTGCCCTTGATGTGGCTTGCAATAAATTTGTCCATAAGTTTGTAAGCGCGTTGATGAAGCAATATATTGTTAGAGAACACGGATGAGGTGGCAAAGCATGTAAGAAAAAAGATTCTAACAAAAGCGTTGTTCATTTGAACAACATTTTCTTATGCATGATTGGGCTCACTGTGGATTTCTGGGCAATGTGGGGCA